AATTTAACTTTCCCATTTTTGCAACAAATTCCAAGAGGCTTCAACTGGCTAATAATATTATTATTGTTTTGTTTTTTTTGTTCTTGAAGTTGTTCGAGGTGGCGGGAGATTTCGTATTGAAGGCTGGGATATTTTTCCTCCTGTTCTTGGACTTTGATTTTTCTTGAAAACCCAGATCTTTTGAAGATGGTTGTAATAATTTTTCCATTTCGGGATCCGACCTGTTATCGCATTCTTCAACTTTTTCTGAATGCGAAGTTGTCATCGACCATTCAGAATTGTTGTTGACATTTCCTCTTCGTCATCGCTGGGCCTTTTGGTTAGGAAGGTTTCCGCACCTGGACGTCCCGCCAGGAAGCGGCCGATATTAAGGATCTTATCTTATTTTGCTTCTTTATCCTGAACGATGTTCTCCGCTATCCCGTACCGGGTGATGATGGGAAACCTCCGACTGGACGGCGGAGGAGATTTTCACCCCCATCTTTTTTAGGTTGTACCCCCTTATGGTAATGAGGGTGCTGAGGAGGGGGATGTCCTTGGCGAGGGCCTCCATGCCCCCGGCCTTGTCGAGAAGGGCGGCCATCACCGGGTCGAAGCCCGTGTAGAGCATGTGCTCCCCGTAGGCCCCGTACTCGGTTGTGTGCCGGGGCATGTGCTCCGCCAGGGGGGCCTCCAGCCATTTGGTCCCATCCACCTGAGGTGCCCCTTTTTTTATTAATAAGGGTTATTTGAAAAAAAAAGTTTTATTTGTCATTATCTTAAGCGGGCGTGAGTAAGTATTTGTTATCCAAGCATGAGATTCCTTGTTTTTCACAATGATTAAGCACCTAGCTATTCTAAGGCCGTTTGAATCAGCTTATTATTTTATTCAATAATATATTTGCCGTCATTCGTCTCAATTTCTACTTTGACCAGTTTGACTGAAAGCCCTGGAATTCTAAATTTCTTACTTTTATGTAAATTTTCCCTTAAATTTTGGATTCATAATTTTATCATATTCTATCTGTTCGACTTCACAATTTTTGCTTCAATTCTCTTCAAGTCTTTCCAGGATGAAGGTTTTGAAGTTAGATTTCATTACAACAAACGTCTGAGAAAAAGCTTCCATTTTGATCTCAATTTCTATATATCTGATCACATCAAGATTTTTTTCCATCTGGACCATCACAAATGGTGTTGCATTTATTTATTTCTGCTCCTATATATATATGTTATATTCTTTGGTAACTTCTGGAAGATGTTTTACCCTTGAAATATTAGTCTTTGAGTTTATTTTACATTTTAATCTATAAAGTAATACTTAAAACCTCCCCGCATAAGTTTCTTTTTTGTGAAAATCAATATTAATTTCAAAGAGAAATATGTACTATTTCTAACTTTTTGGATGACGTATGAAAAGGTTGAATATATGAAGAGTAATGGTCTATATATGATAGGATGACGTATGAAAGGGTGAAAATGTGAAGAGTAATGGCGAACGGAAAAATAAAAGTGTCCAGGGGCGGGAATCGAACCCACAACCTTCTGCTTACCGGGCAGGTGCCATGTCCACTAGGCTTATTTTATTATTTTAATCTATTAACTACGGTAGAGTTGACTACTTTTGTCTGAGGCTGGTGTGAGCTAGTCAATAAGTGTTTTACACCATTATTCACTAGGAAATGTTTAAATCTATTACTTGTATAAATGCAGGAGCCCTATCAGTTGAAATAGATTCAGGTTTGATGGTTTGAAATAAGGTCTTTAAACATGTGATATAAGTGTCAGTATTTGTATTTTTACTATCAAATGTCCATAAATACCTGCTGTGATGGTCAATAAGCATGTGAATGCAATGCTTATTAGAACCATAGTTGTGTAGACCACCTAAGTATCAAGAGAAATAATCTGACCTGGGTGAGTGGCTATTGGCATTGCTTGTAGGGATCCACAAATGGTCCTTTTGTCTCTATTTTCATTTAATTGACATATTTCAGTGTTTTACATATTGAGTTATATCATGGGTCATGTTTGGCCAATAAATATTTGGAAGAATAATTTTTGTCATTTGTGTAATTCCTATATGTCCATGATTTAAATGTACTTTTTCAATTAGCTTTCCTCTCAGAGTTATTGGTACATAGGCTCTAACAAGTCCTTTTTTAAAAAATAGGATAAATGCCATTTTGTATTTTGAAGTTTTTGGGTGGTAAATCCTGTGATTTTTAGTGTTCTTTTATTTCTTCTAATGATATATAATGTGAAATGGGTGATCTAGACAGCATATCTGCTTCAGTATTTAGAGTGCCTTTAATATATTTAATTTCAAAGTCATATTGGGATAATAGTAATGACCATCTTAATAATCTATTAGTTGGATTTTTAAGTGATTTTAACCACTTTAAAGGCATATGATCTGTACGTAAAATAAAATGTTGATTTTGAATATATGGATGGAATCTTTTTATTGCTTCTATGATGGCTAAAGTTTCAATCTCTGAGACAGTATAACTTTTCTCACATAAGGGTGCAATCTTCTAGAATAGAATGCTACTGGATGCCTTTATTATTGGGTTGTTTTAAAACTGTTCCTACATCTATTGTTGAACCACCAGTGACAAGGTTTGTCAGTGTCATAGATATGAAGAATTGGTTTGATATTAGAGCAGATTTAAGTGTTTGAAAAGCTATTCCTGCTCTTCTGCCCTTTCCAAATTTTATTTTTCTGTAAAAGAAGTCAAAGGATCTCTAATTTGTGCATAATTTGAAATGAATTTATTATAAACGTTGATGGATCCTAAAAAAGCTTGCTATGATTTAATATTGTTTGGTCTAGGTAGGTTTTAATGGCTTCTAGATCAGGATTATTAGGTGTGTAAGTTCCTGACTGTATTTGATATCCTAAAAATTCTATTTTTGTGCGCAAAAATTGGCATTTAGCAAAATTCAATTTGATATTCTCCTTTTTAAAAATTTCAAAAATATTTTCAAGTTGTTCAAGATGTTCTGAAATACTTGAAGAGTGAACAATAATGTCATCAAAATATTTTAAAGCATATTCAATATTGTATTTAGTAAAAAGTGATCTTGTAGTTCTTTGGAAAATTGATGGAGCATTTTATAGTCCATAAGGAAATCTGTTCCATTCATAGCAGCCTGTTTGAGTAACAAATGCTGTTTTATATTTATCTTCTTCTTCTATTGAGAGATGCCAGTATGCATTAGTAATATCTAAGGTTGTAAAAATTTGAGATTTTGCTAACCTATCAATTAAGTCTTCAATTAAAGGAATTGGTTTATGTTCTGCTTGTGTAATATTATTTAATTTTCTATAATCTATACAAAATATTGTTAGGTGGTTGGGAATATCCGATTTTTTATGAACTAAAAGACATGGGGATGTAAATGAACTATTTGATGGCTTAATTATATTGTTTTTACATAATTATCTTATTTGTTTTTGTGTCTCATTATTATTAGACTAGCCGAGTGACCCGGGCAACGCCCCCGGGTTTACCCGAAGGGCCCACAGAGACATTAAGAGTAGAGATAGTGACTTAAAAATTGCAATGGGTGCAATCTTATTTTACAAGAAGCATCATTTCAAATATAAGAGTGGGTAAAAATACTTTCTAACTATATATACATTCGGTTTGATCTTGTATGTTTATATATCAAAATGAGAATGGAATCATCCATAACAGACCTTATCATTAATGACATATTAGACAGCACAGTGCAAAAATGTAGAACATTAATGTATAGAGCAGTGGGGGAAATAGGTAAATAAAGAGAAGACCGATAACACTGGTCAACAATATTTTTGCCCAAGAGAACCTGATGGTGTTTCTAGTCTAACTTTTCATGCTGAACTAAAAAATCTAATCAGAAAATTTCCATCACCCATGGTTTTTGCGTGACAGCCTTTTTTTTTTTTTTTGGTATTGGGATAAATACAGAAAAAATGCAAAAAAATGTTACGTAAGCATTTTTGCATAAACCTTATTACATTACACTGGTTTATCAAAAATTATTTTTCTTTGTCCCAAAAGAAACAGCATCATATCTAAATTTAACTCTTTGTGCTGATTCCAAATATACCATCAGTTATTTTCTATCACGCAAGATTTTTGAGATAAACCTACTTGAAATTTGGAAATGTTTCAAATATATAGGCCTATATGAACGAAATATATTTATTTTATTGAAAAGTAGTGACAGTGGACTTTCTTCTATACTTTGTTTGTGGTACATCCTTCTTGAGTGTCCAAGAGTAGTCAGCAAGCATACCGGGACTCCATTTACCTTGGTACCGCTTCTCCATGCTTGATATACCTTGATGAAACCTCTCACCATGCTCATCGCTAACAGCACCAAGATTGTCTGGAAATAAATCCAGATGTGAATGCAGGAAATGGATCTTGAGAGGCATGTTACATCCCAATGCCTTGTAGGAAAGCAACAGATCATTAACTATGTCTCGGTAATTTTCAGCCTTGACACTTCCTAAGAAGTTCTTGCAAACGTTTCTAAAGGAATTCCATGCTGCTTCTTCAACTTCATTCAAACTATTTTGAAAATTTTCATCCTGCAGCAATTCTCGAATCTGAGGTCCAACGAAAATGCCTTCTTTAATTTTCGCATCACTTATGCTAGAACATTTTTGTTTTAGGTAGGCAAATCCACTGGCATTTCGATCCATTGTCTTGACAAAGTTCTTCATTTATCCCAGTTTAATATGTAATGGTGGTAAGTAAATATTTCCTGAAACGATCAGGGGAGGATTTACAATATTTTTATGTTCTGGGGTAAAGATTTCACGGTTTAGCCAGCTTTTTTAATGTAATACCTTTCCCTATCTCTGCTATCCTACTCACACAGAAAGCAACAAAAATGTGTATATCCAAGCTGTGATCCACGCAAGAGAGCAATAACTTTCAAATCGCAGCATATTTTCCAACCGTATCTTTCATATTCTATTTTTTTCAAAAGCAGTTTCATGTTTTCGTAAGTCTTATTCATGTTGGATGCATGTGCTATTGGCACTGATGGGAATTTATTTCCGTTGTGAAGGAGAACAGCTTTCAAACTAATTTTTGAAGAATCGACGAATAAACGCCACTCTTCTGTATCATGGTCATGACCAAGCACTTCCATTAGACTAACAACATCAATGCAATATACTAAATCATTCTCTTGTTAAAAGAAGTCTTGAAATTCATATTGACGCTTGCGAAAAAGGCATACTTTTGTGCCTTTATGCAGCAGATTCCAGCCTTTTAACCTAGAGCCTAAAAGTTCACTCTGTTTTTTGGATAAATCTAAATCATGTACGAGGTCGTTCAAATCTCCTTGGGTTAACAAATGAGGTTCAGATGAAGCACCTGCTTCAAAATTTGTTTCATTCGACTGTTGCTCTCGTCTATCTGAATCATCGTCACTAAATATTACATTTTCAGGAGGCTGTGGCACAGGTAAAATATCACTATGAGGAACCGGTCTCATAGCAGAAGGCAAATCTGGATAGTCAACTGTATGTCTTGATTTGGATGTAATACCTGTAGTCTTTGTCAAAGAAAAATAACAGTCTGAAGAATGGTCTTTAGGTTCCCTCCATATCATTGGAACCGCAAAAGGCATATGACGTTCACCTTTAATCCACCCTATAAGACGTCGAGCACAAATTTCACAACAATGATGAGGATCCCAAGTCTTATTTTGGTCACCGACTTTACAGCCAAAATGAAGTTGATAGCACTTTTTGATAAGAAATGTAAAGTTTTGCCATTGAACTTTGAAAGTTAATTCCCCACAAATGTAACGGAAAACATAAGGAATATTAATGCAACGCCTCGGCATATTGACAGTCTAGTGCACACGATTTATAAAAGCAAATCGATAGAGAAGAATAAACTGATCACTTCAAATTTACCTGTCACTTCTGATTCAAATATATTAAACAAATCGTTAGGTTCAATTTAAATATATATATATTAAAACTGTTATTCAGCAAATAGCATTCCAGAGCTTGTCGTTATTTTTGAGTTGAAAGCAAAACAGATTGCATTATAAAATAAACATATTTAATTAAAAATTCAATAATTTTTTATTTAAATTAATATTTATGATTCTCAAAGAGAAAAAATTAATAACAAATAAAATAAAGCTTTCGGCTCCACCTATCAACTCTTCTCGTCAAAAATAAAGCGCTAGCTAATAATAATAGAAAAAATGGTTATCCTGCAACAACTATGGGTGATGGAAAACTTCTGATTTCGTTTTTTAATTCAGCATGAAAAGTTACATTAGAATCAACATCAGGTGTTCTCCGGCAAAAAAAAAAGTTTTTTTTTGTAGACCTGTGTAATCAAAATAATTGATAATAAATAGTGAATATTAGTGAATACAAAATTTAATTGAAGGTTAATGCAAAAAAATTCCCTTTCAGGTGAGAAACTATAGGCATTGGTGCTTATGCCTAAAAAAGTAAATAAAGTGAAGATCAAAATCGAAAAAGTTAAAACTAAATAGTTTATTAACAAACAAATACAAAAAAAAATCATTTCGGGTGAGAAACTATTAGTTAAATTTATTATAACTATATTCAAAATGGGAAAAAAAGACGTAGTAGTTATTTTGCTCCTCCACATTCTCATGTTTAATAAGCAATTTCTGGTGAGGAAATATAGCTATTGGTGAAATGTTCAAATAAATATATTTAAAGTAAAAAAAGAAACTGAAAATAAAATGCAATTCTAGTTTTCATATATCTGGGTTCAACTTTATATGTATTCTATCCAGAATTCGCACTTGATAAAAAGCCACATAGAGCTGTTCATGTGTAAACACAGGCTCTTGTAGCAAGAGACCCACTCTAGCAAAGGTTTGGCCATGAGCCTTTATTTATAGTCATAGTCAAACCCAACCTTAGTGGAAACTGATGCCTCTTCAGAATGAAGGGAAGGTTGTTATCAGAAGGAGCCAAAGAAGAACAAATAATACAAAAAGAACGTGTTTTAAAAACAAACAATTCGATGATGATACATAACAAATAAGATAAGCAACATTTGAAGGCAAAAAATCTACGATTGCAAAATCGAATAAATTAAAAATAAATAAATGTGATGAATTATCCTGTCGACTAAAAATGTGGTGAGGTCCTGTTGACTCTTGTAGAATCCTGTCGACTCTCGCTATACTGTGTTAACCGAGAGGAACAGTCAGGATGGGGAGTTTTCCAGTACCTCTCTGCACCTTGGGAGACCTTTAACAGTTCTCACAGGCAGTCGTGGTCGAGGCAGAGTGGAAAGCTTGGGAATGTCCACACAAAAAGCGAAGACACAGTTGCACTAGGAAAGTTCCGTGAACAGATAAAGGTTGAGCTAGGAGGGAAAGATGGAGATAAGAGTTCTTACTGGTCTACATGGTGGATGAGGAGGACCTTGGTGACAACCGACGAGGGCTTCCGCTGATGGTGAAGTGACTATATTTTTGGCTAGGGCGGAGGTATTATATATATTTGCCGAGAGAGGAAGTATTGCATTTCATCAGATGCAACAAGAGCGTGGATCGGCTGGCGAAATTGTACACTGGCGCCGTCCTGACAGTTTCCTATCCATCTTTAGATGTTGTTGTGGGACTTCCATCTATCTCGATTTTAGACGTTTTTGACTTCTATCTCTTGCTACAGCTCAGCTCTTAATCTATTAGAGTTTTATTTATTTATCCTCAGTTTGTACAAAGTACTTTACATATGATGAGGTAATGACACATGCCAATAATGCGTATAATCATTTAAAGATGTGTTTCTATTATACAACATTAAATTTTTTTAAAAGTATTATTCAATACGGGGTTGTGTGTGTTGGTTTAAATTATCATATAAATCTATTAATATTTGGAAAATAAAAATAAAACTGTCATGTGAAGCAAAAGATAACGAAAATTTTGGTATATAGATGGCTATTTATAGTTAAGTATCTTTGGAGGAGATAGCTTTTAACTTTACAACTGTGAACTCTGTTAGCCCATTATCTATATAGAATAGGATTTTCTGTAAGGTGTTTGTGCAATTGGTCCATTATCAGTTAACTTAATGCTACAAGGAGTCATATTAATTTTACTTACATTAAATTTATGCTTTGTAAGGTATCAAAACTATGCTGGAATGGAACCTCTGATTTGTTATTCGATTCATTTGAAAAATGATCATCAAATTTGGTAATTTTAGAAAAATTAGGTATTTGTTTAAAATTAGACAAAGGATTTACTTCGAATAAACAATATTTATAATGTGATATGGATCAGGGATGCAATTAATTATATGATTTATTAGGTTGGTTGGAGTACGTAAATGATAGTAAGACTTTATAGTTTTGGAAAAGGTTTTTTGAAAAATCTATTTGTAACCTAAATTTATAAAATGTTGGTAAGCCCAAAATAAGATATTCTATTTGACTATTACAAACAAACATTTATTGATACCTTGTAAATTTTCCTAAGGTAAGCCTAACTAATATTTTGCATAACGGGTAATTAAATCCTCTACCTGACCTATTCTTTCTTTTGGGGAATTTTCTAATACTTTATAATATAGTTTGAATATTTTAAAGGGATAATGGAAATAGACGATGCAGTGTCAAGTACACAAGATATTTGGTTTATAAATACAGAGAGTAGCAATTAAAAGAACTTTATTGACCTCTTGTCAATGCTTACACTCACAAAGAGTTAAGGTAAGAAATAATGAAATAAAACATTTACAATATATGTATACAGAGGGTGTTTCCTTTCAAATGAAACGATTTCAAACGTCCGTTAGAACTTTATTTTTCGAACGTGAATTTTTTTCATGTGTTCTATGTGCTTCCCCTTCTTCTTGGCTATCTCCCTGCATCGGACTTTCCAAGCTGCGAACACTTCCTTGACTTTGGAGAGCGAAACATTCGACCACTCCTCTTGTGCGGCTTTCCAAAGTCCGGCCTCAGTTTTGGGACGTCGGTTGAAGAGCCGTTGTTTCAACATACCGAACCCGTAAAAATCCAGTGGGCTGGCGTCGGGAGACTTCACTGGAATGTCCGAGTTCCTGATAAAATTTAGGCCTAGGGTGTCCTTCATTTCTTGTAGGAACTGTTGGGTTTTGTTGGAGGTATGGGAAGAGGCTTTGTCGTGATGAAGGAACACTTTGTCCATTTCCCCTGGGTAAAGGTCCTTCAGTTGTTCGATGACAGGTTTCAGAACGCATTCTATATAGAATTCTGAGTTCACCTTCACCTTCGATGGAACCTTTATGAGCGGAAGGACTCCACGCCCAGTCATTACCCCGACAACCATGAAACCTTTAGGGAAAGTTTCGGAGCATTGGTGAACCCAATTATCCGGGACCTGATTGCCTCTTTTGATGTAACAGATCTTCCGGATTCCATTGCAATACGTCACATACATCCATGCTTCGTCCAATGTTGCAGTATATTCCGATCTGGAACCGGCCAGGTGTTCCTCGTAGAGCTTCCGGGCATTCGTTGCACGGTTTTTCATGTGGAAAGGGGTGAGCTTGTGAACCTTGCCTTTTCGTCGGGTATCCAGTTCCAAATCTTTGTGAATGATGTTATTTATCGTTTTTAGCGATGTTCCACACATTCTGGAAAGTTGGCGCTGAGATGGTGGATTTTCAGTAGTTGCTAGCCGCTTTACTTTGGAAACCGTGGCGGGGGTCCGCACCGGACGTGGTCGATCGACTTGAAATTTTTGCCCATTGGATTCAGCTTCCCTTTTCTTTCCGATGCCATTTACTACCCTACATATTGTAGCTTTGCCAACATCTAGTCCTTCTGCTTTTAGCTTTTTCACTATGACGCTATAACTGTTTCCTTCTTTGGAAAGGGTCCGAATTGTTTGTTCGACTTGGAGCGTTAGTCTCTCTCCCCCCATGTTGCAAAAATCATGATACCTGATGAAAATGAATTCTCCAGAAGATTCTAGATCTATTGGAACCAGTGTCGTGTGCAGCATGCCTGCACGTGCAAAACGCGAGCGCTCGAAAATCGTTTCATTTGAAAGGAAACACCCTCCGTATATCAGGCGGAGCTCTCACCGAGGGGACGCCTGGATATTTTCAAGAACTAAGAGTTGCCTGGATTGTGGTCAGGTTTCTGCGGATTAAAGGATCTGCATCCCCAGCAAGCTCGAAGACTTTGTTGAGGAAATCAATAAGGATCGGCCTGTTTTCAGGCAAAAGGGTCCCAAAGAAGGTGGTCTGTTCGGGGTGCATGATCGCCCCGATGACATCACCCGGTTTTATCTGCTGGTGAGTCAATGGCCTCAGGGTGGATTCAAATTCCAATTGCTCGAATATTACCAGTATCTGATTCTGACGGCGCTCACTCTGAGCATACTCATGTTCTCTGGTCATGTTGTCAAGTTCGGTTTTGACCTTCCTGAGGATCTTGTAGATGTTGGTGGTGCCTCCGGGCTTCAGGTCTAGCAACCGATCGGCCAACCCGGCGAGAGCATCCTTCTGCGCGGGTGTGATCGGGTGTCTCCGCTTTTTGACCCTGGCTCTTGAGGAGAGGAGGTCCAAGACCTCCCCCCAGCCAAGTCCAAGGCCTTCTGTCTCAGTGAAGGAGACTCCGGAGTTTCTCTCAAGAAAGTCCGCATGGTCGCCTCTTATTGTTCGCCCCAAGGATGACGTGGGGGATGGCTCGAGGGTCCCCTGAACAGGCAGAGGAACAGAAGGGGCAACGTAGGCCGGCTGAGCTTGAGGCGCTGCTCCGGCAGGCTGAAAGGCCGGAGGGCGAGGGTCCGCGGAAGCCTCAGGTGCTTCCATAGATGGAGTAGTGATCGCCGGTGGAGGAGTCTGCACCTCCACAGATGATGCCGGGCGTGCTGTCGTAGGCGGCCGAGGCGTGATGGAAGGGGGCTCCATTGCCTGTGGGGCGCTGTTGGAGGTGGGCGGCGCCAGCACTTCAATTACCACTTCCATGGGCTCAACGAGAGCGGACTCGGGCTCGTGGGTACTCTTGGCGAGCAAAAGAGGAGGAGCCACGGTGTCTATAGCGGTTCTGGCAGGCAGGGTGGCGGAAGGGCCAGAAGCTGAGGTCTGAAGCGCAGGGCACTTACTGACCAACTTCGGTGACGAATCCGGGGCCGCTGGTGTTGGGCGGGTCGGCTGCTGGGACGCGGTGGGCGACGCACCAGGAGGATGGGATGCGGGGTGTGGCTGGCTTGTGTTGGTAGGCCGGTTCAGAATTGTGGGGCAGTTTGCCCGACGGTGGCCCTGCCGGCCACATCTGGAGCATTTGATCCCGAACGCCAGAAACGTCGGAAGGGTGTTACCTTTGCTGGTGATGTCCAGGCGCGTCGGCAGGTTCTGGAGGGAAACTCCATCGTTCAGGAGGATAAAGGCCTCTCGGCGGCCGTACGGGATAATGGAAATAGATGATGCAGTGTCAAGTACACAAGGTAAAGATATATGGTTTATAAGTACAGAGAATAGTAATAATGTTCTACCTGGGTTGATGGGCTTTGGAGGAGTATTCTTCCTAAGTGGGCAGTCTTTATGAAAATGCATTTGGTTGGGTAACTGGTCTGTGGAACATATCTTGCAGGGGTATGGGGGTAGGTTTATTGATTTGTGAGGTTCTTACTGGTGGTGAGTTGCTGCTGCTGTCCTGGGAAAAGGCTGGTATTGATGACCTTGGGAGTAGCTGGGGTTAAATCTTCTTACTGAAGTATATGGTCTATTTGAATAAGCGATAGACCTCTTCCTGTTTAGATAATCACATAAAGTAAAGCACGAAGGAAGATGAGTTTCTTTTTAATAAACGCGAGCGAGCTTTCGGGCCACACGCCCTTCTACTGGCAAAAAGCTAAGAGATTCAAAGATATACAAGCCTATTTATACTATGGTAAGCAAAATTTTAGCATATTTACATTTTTTCTTATAGACGGAGAAACAAAATACAACTATGATTACAATTAAGATATGCAAATATAGGGATTATATGGTCTATTGCTTGTACTTGTAGAGGGTTGTTGGGGTTCTTCTTCTTGATTTGATGATAATTTTAACAGAGTTGTAATTTTAATCCAATCTGATGGTTCTTGGACTCTTGCAGCTATTAAATATTTTTTGAGGTGGTTTGGCATCCCATCTGTGAGAGCCTCCATCTGGAGCATCCACCTGAGGTGCCCCCTTTTTTATTAATAAGGGTTATTTGAAAAAAAAAGTGTTTTATTTGTCATTATCTTAAGCGGGCGTGAGTAAGTATTTGTTATCCAAGCATGAGATTGCCTGTTTTTCACAATGATTAAGCACCTAGCTATTCTAAGGCCGTTTGAATCAGCTTATTATTTTGTTCAATAATATATTTGCCGTCATTCGTCTCGATTCCTACTTTGACCAGTTTGACTGAAAGCCCTGGAATTCTAAATTTCTTACGTTTATGTAATTTTTTTCAGAAAATTTGGATTCATAATTTATATCATATTCTATCTGTTCGACTTCACAATTTTTGCTTCAATTCTCTTCAAGTCTTTCTAGGATGAGCGTTTTGAAGATAGATTTCATTACAACAAACGTCTGAGAACAAGCTTCAATTTTGATCTCAATTTCTATATTTCCGATCATATCAAGTTTTTCTTTCCATCTGGACCAGCACAAATGGTGTTGCATTTATTTATTTCTCTGCTCCTATATATATATCAACATATATATTCCCCCTCAATTCCTCATGTCACGGATGCGCGCGCATCATCATTATGATCATTATCATTATCTAATGATAATAATAATAATAATTATTATTATTATTATTTTATTATCAACATATATAGTCACGACCGTCTTTCCACCGTCATGTCACGGATGCGCGCGCATCATCATTATGATCATTATCATTATCTAATGATAATAATAATAATTATTATTATTATATTAATATTATTATTATTATCAACATATATAGTCACGACCGTCTTTCCACCGTCATGTCACGGATGCGCGCGCATCATCATTATGATCATTATCATTATCTAATGATAATAATAATAATTATTATTATTATATTATTATTATTATTATTATTATCAACATATATAGTCACGACCGTCTTTCCACCGTCATGTCACGGATGAGCGCGCATCATCATTATGATCATTATCATTATCTGATGATAATAATAATTATTATTATATTATTATTATTATTATTATCAACATATATAGTCACGACCGTCTGTCGACCTCATGTCACGGATGCGCGCGCATCATCATTATGATCATTATATCATTATCTAATGATAATAATAATATTATTATTATATTATTATTATTATTATTATTAATCAACATATATAGTCACGACCGTCTGTCGACCTCATGTCACGGATGCGCGCGCATCATCATTATGATCATTATCTTCTATAGAAGCTTCTATCTTTATAATTATGTATATTGACAAAAAGTCAATTCGCTCGCGACTCTAGCGGTGAAAATGAGGGGTCATACCAGCTGACCTAATGTACATGTAAAGTTTGGAGCGGGACGTTTCACAAGAGTGACATCCACGGCTCCAATTTATAATTGTAACAAATAGTATTGGAATAAAAACATTCAATCGGGTAAAACACGGGCGTTGCCCGGGTCATTCGTCTAGTTAATATATAGTCACGACCGTCTTTCCTCAATTCCTCATCGCTGTCACGGATGCGCGCGCATCATCATTAGATCATTATCATTATCTAATGATAATAATAATAATAATTATTATTATATTATTATTATTATTTATTATTATCAACATATATAGTCACGACCGTCTTTCCTCAATTACTCATCGCTGTCACGGATGCGCGCATCATCATTATGATCATTATCTTCTATAGAAGCTTATATCTTTATAATTTGTATATTTACAAAAGTCAATTCGCTCGCGCCTCTAGCGGACCTAATGTACATGTAAAGTTTGGAGCGGGACGTTTCACAAGAGTGACATCCACGGCTCCAATTTATAATTGTAACAAATAGTATTTGAATAAAAACATTCAATCGGGTAAAACACGGGCGTTCCCCGGGCCATTCGTCTAGTCAACATATATAGTCACGACCGTCTTTCCTCATCGCTGTCACGGATGCGCGCGCATCATCATTATGATCATTATGGTAATAATGGTAATAATAATTATTATTATTATTATACTAGCCGAATGACCCGGGCAACGCCCGGGTTTTACCAGATTAAATGCTTTTATTCAAATACTATTCGTTACAATTATAAATTGACGCCGTGGATGTCACTCTTGTGAAACGTCCCGCTCCAAACTTTGTGTCTGAGAAGCGATATTTTTACAAAGAGATGATCTGGCTTTGTGTCTTCTGCTCGAATGAATGCTTTTCTGTTAGAATTTTGTTCCTGCACACTAAAAACGAACTGGCTTCACCCGTGGACTCAACTTTTTGGATTTTTTCCCGATATAATTTTGTATCTGATAATCAAACATGATACAGCAATATTGTCATAATCATTTTCTGACTAAAAAACAACTATTTTTGCCCAGAACCTGTCAATTTTATTTTTTATTGGCTAAAATCCGATAAATATATTTTCCAGATTTTTCTCTATGTCCTGTCAAAACACGTTTTACATGCACATTAGATCAGCTGCTATTACCTCCCATCTTCCCCGCTAGAGGCGCTGCTTGCGAGCGAAAAGGCAAATTGGCAACGCAATTTGCAAATAACTCGAAGAATATTCGGGATAGAGACCTGAAATTTTCACTATAAGTTTTTCCAGATTCTACTCTATATACTGTTAAAATTTCAGTCAGATTAGTTACGTATTGTGGACGTATATAGCCGACATAGATACCCACATACATACATACACTGACTTTTATATATATAGGGATATTGTCAATGTTATATCTATCTATTTATTTATTTATTTCGTCTCTATTTGCAGGTGTTTCATTCGCGTGACCTTGTCCTGGCTATTTACATATGGCGAGTTGGTGGAGTAGAGGTGGTCCCCCCGAACCTTGCAGCTGTTGGGCGATGAGCTCTTAACTAAGTGTCAGGGCCGGGTCGTCGGAATCGGGGATTGATATCTCCTTTATTTTGTATATCTTGTATGGTTGGATTATTTGAATTTTGCATTTGAAGGTATAATTTCTTAACGGAAGTTTGGTACATATCTTCTAGATCGGGTTGGTTCAAGTTCTCCTTCAGTATCTTATTTGATAGGTTGAATGGAGCTCCTATACTCGTCCGAAGGCAGATTCTCATAAATGCCTTTATCCTATTTTTGTCTGTGGTTGTAATATATTTGCACCAAACTGGGAGTGCCTATGTTACTATCGGGAGGATACAACTTCTGTATAGAGTAAACTTTTGTTTTGTAGTCAATTTGCTTCTATAGTTGAACAGGCTTGATAATGTTATTTTTGCGATTTTTGCTTTCTTTGTGATATTTTTGACATGCATGTTGAATTTCAACTTGGAGTCTAAGGTAACTCCAAAATATTTGACGCTGTCAGTCCAGTTAATAGGGCTCTGGTTTACCTTTAGGATGGATTGTGGCTTGAATTTTTTATTGTCTAGTGGAGGAAAAATTATTCCTGAGACCTTTTTGGGTTGATTTCTAATTTCCAATCATTGCACTATTTGGTAATATTGTTTTTGTAATTTTGGAATTGTGTAGTTATTATTCCTATTGATTTGAAGTTTGCTAAAATTGCTGCGTCATCTGCGAAAAGTTTTGTTTGACATTTTGGATGTGGAGGGAAATCGTTGATGTAGATGTTGAATAGGTAGGGTCCAAGGATTCCAAGGGACTCCAATCTGGGTTGGTTTTGCCGTGGTTATATAATTACCTTGCTTAATTGAAAAGGTCCTGTCCTGGAGATAGTTTTTCAAGAATTTGATAAAATCCCTTGGAAATTGATATTTTGTTATCAAGCTATCATACCATACTCTATCAAAGGCTTTGGTAAAGTCTAGAAAAACAGCACCTACTGCCTCCTTGTGGGAATTTCTTATTTGGATGTAGTCTATTACTGTGATTAGCTGGTGGGTTGTGGAGTGTCCTTTTCTGAATCCAAATTGTTGAGGAATGATAAAGTTAATAGAATCCATGTATGTCTGCAATCTGCGAAGAACAATCCTCTCGTATACCTTACCGATGGTAGAGAGAAGGCTGATTGGTCTGAGATCTTCAGGTGATTTTTTTGGAATGGTGATGATAATGGCATATGTTATATCTAAAATAATTATTTATCATTTACTATGGGAAATTCATCTGAGGGTAATTGATCGTATTAAAATATTCTTCTCCATTATATTGTCCATCATTCAATTGTTCTCCATTTTATTGTCTGGCATTCAATTGTTCTCCATTATAATGTCCGGCATTCAATTGTTCTCCATTATATTGTCTGGCATTCAATTGTTCTCCATTATAATGTCTGGCATTCAATTGTTCTCTATTATATTGTCTGGCATTCAATTGTTCTCCATTCAATTGTCTGGCATTCAATTGTTCTCTATTATATTGTCTGGCATTCAATTGTTCTCTATTATATTGTCTGGCATTCAATTGTTCTCCATTCAATTGTCTGGCATTCAATTGTTCTCTATTATATTGTCTGGGATTCAATTGTTCTCCATTCAATTGTTCTCTATTATATTGTCTGGCATTCAATTGTTCTCCATTCAATTGTTCTCTATTATATTGTCTGGCATTCAATTGTCTGGCATTCATTTGTGCTCTATTATATTGTCTGGAATTCAATTGTTCTCCCTTATATTGTCCGGCATTCAATTGTTCTTTATTATATTGTCTGGCATTCAATTGTTCTCCATTCAATTGTCTGGCATTCAATTGTTCTCTGTTATATTGTCTGGCATTCAATTGTTCTCCATTCAATTGTCTGGCATTCAATTGTTCTCTATTATATTGTCTGGCATTCAATTGTTCTCCATTCAATTGTCTGGCATTCAATTGTTCTCCATTCAATTGTCCTCTATTATTTTGTCTGGCATTCAATTGTTCTCCATTATATTGTCCGGCATTCAATTGTTTTCCATTATATTGTCTGGAATTCAATTGTTCTCTATTATATCATGGAAAAATTAGGTTTTTTTAGTAGCCGGCCTATAGATTCATACATATGTCATGATACTGCTTTGGTAAATCAATATGTCTATTAATACTATTATTGTTAATGGATAAAATTGCTTCTAAAATTAATCTTTTGTATTTGTTATTGATATTGGAATACAGGGTGGTAGGGGAGGATAAATTGAAGGAGTGGCCAGTGGTGTTGATGTGGTTAAATATGAGAGATCTATTGTCTTTATTGGAGATGCATCTACCGTATTCAGTCATCCTGGTGGCCACGGATCTACCGGTCTCGCTTGTGTAGGAAGCATTGCAATCGTTGCACGAGACCAAGTAGACCGAGCCACCAGAAGACCGAACAACGGCAGATCTGTGGAGACGGGTGATAGGGTGTCTAAGAATGGTACCTATACTTTTGTTATTAGAGAAATATGTATTGATTCCATGGGATCTGAGGATGTGGGAGATGGAGACTGATTGGCATCGGGTTGGCATGGCTTATCTATTTCTATGGTTTGTGGTGAGGGTATGGAAATTATGGTGTATGGTTCTGGGTAAATGGCTGGCATAAGCTTACCTTGACCTGATTGGTAAGGGATCTTATAAAGGACCTTATCCCCTATTTTTAGATTAGGCGTTTTATGGGATTCATTATATCTTTTTACCAATTTAAGATGTAATTTTTCTGTATTTTCATTTGCAATTCTCCTAGCCTCTTACCGGTGAGCTACTAAATTCTAAAAATAGTAATTTTGCTAATGAAAAATGTCCTTTTTGGAGAAGTGTCCGCTAGCGGGGTGTCCGCTAAAGGGAGTTTCTACTGTAAATGTTTAAACATAGTTAAATTATAAGATAGAGAGAAATATATATTTTTTAAATGTTCAATCCTTGATAAGAAAAGAAATGAAGTCACAAATCAGACGGCGAACAAAACTCTTTATTGTTTTGCATATTTTCTTCCTATTTCCACATAGGCAAATAAGTCTTTTCAAAAAAGGAAATAGAGTCGAAAATATAGAAGATAATTATGTATTTACATAAAACAAAACAATGTACATTCACTATAGGATATGCAACAAATGAAAAAAAACAAACAAAGTTGAAAATAAACAATATAAATATGTTTAAAAGTGAAAGGTTTACATGTCTTGTATGCTCCAGCGGTAAGCATCTTCCTCATTGGACATCTTGTTTGCCCTGGTGGCCAGCAGTTTGCTCTCATAGCCATTGGAGCGGTCCACGCTGTCCCAGCGGTAGCCAGGCAGGATGTTGAACCGGTTCTGTGGGGCTGGGGGGCCCTTGTACACAGGCCGACTTTTCTTGCCCATGTTCATCTTCTCTTGTTTCTTCATCATGTACGCCAGCATGGGGTCGTCAGACAGAAGCTTGCTCTTCAGGTGGTTCTCCAGGTCTTCATCGTCCCGGTACCTGGCGAGAGGTTTGGACATCTCGTTGATGTGGTCCTCCAGCTGAGCTTGCTGCTTCTCCGACTGCTTCATGCCTTTCCCCCACTGATCATACTGCTGCTTGCGCAAGGCCTCCTTCCTCTCCTTCTCTTCCTTCAGCTTCTGCTCCTCCTCCATGTCCCTCTTCTTGAGGGTGTGTTTGTCTCTGTATATC